CGCGCGGCGACGACATCGACGGCGAGGCGGCGTACGACTACTCGGGCTACTCGGTGTCGCTGAGCGCGGACGGCGCGACGCTGGCCGTCGGGGCGCACTACAACGACGGCGCCGGCTCTTACGCGGGCCACGCGCGCGTGTTTGCGTGGGACCCCGTCGAGGAGACGTGGGTTCAGCGCGGCGACGACATCGACGGCGAGGACGCGGACGACCAGTCGGGCGGGTCGGTGTCGCTCAGCGCGGACGGCACGACGCTGGCCGTCGGGGCGCGCGGGAACGACGGCGCCGGCGACAGCGCGGGCCACGCGCGCGTGTTCGCGTGGGACTCCGACGACGAGACGTGGGTTCAGCGCGGCGACGACATCGACGGCGAGGCGGCGTACGACCAGTCGGGCGGGTCGGTGTCGCTCAGCGCGGACGGCACGACGCTGGCCGTCGGGGCGTCCGGGAACGACGGCGCCGGCTCCAGCGCGGGCCACGCGCGCGTGTTCGCGTGGGACTCCGACGACGAGACGTGGAAGCAGCGCGGCGACGACATCGACGGCGAGGCGGCGTACGACGACTCGGGCGTCTCGGTGTCGCTCAGCGCGGACGGCACGACGCTGGCCGTCGGGGCGGTCTACAACGGCGGCGCCGGCTCCTACGCGGGCCACGCGCGCGTGTTTGCGTGGGACCCCGTCGAGGAGACGTGGGTTCAGCGCGGCGACGACATCGACGGCGAGGCCGCGTACGACTGGTCGGGCGTCTCGGTGTCGCTCAGCGCGGACGGCACGATGCTGGCCGTCGGGGCGCCCTACAACGGCGGCGCCGGCTCCAACGCGGGCCACGCGCGCGTCTTCGCGTGGGACTCCGTCGAGGAGACGTGGGTTCAGCGCGGCGACGACATCGACGGCGAGGCCGCGGACGACCAGTCGGGCGGGTCGGTGTCGCTGAGCGCGGACGGCACGGCGCTGGCCGTCGGGGCGCTCTTCAACGACGGCGGGCCCGGCTCCGACGCGGGCCACGCGCGCGTGTTCGCGTGGCACTCCGACGACGAGACGTGGGTTCAGCGCGGCGACGACATCGACGGCGAGGCCGCGGGCGACCTGTCGGGCTACTCGGTGTCGCTGAGCGCGGACGGCACGGCGCTGGCCGTCGGGGCGATCTACAACGACGGCGGCGGCAACAACGCGGGCCACGCGCGCGTGTTCGCGTGGGACTCCGTCGACGAGACGTGGGTTCAGCGCGGCGACGACATCGACGGCGAGGACGCGGACGACCAGTCGGGCATATCGGTGTCGCTGAGCGCGGACGGCACGACGCTGGCCGTCGGGGCGCGCTACAACGGCGGGGGGGGCAACAGCGCGGGTAGCACTCGGGTGTATACCATCGCGCCGTTGTTGACGCCCGCGCCGACGACCGCGGTATAGTGCCCCCCCCCCCCCGCCGGGCCCCGGGCCTCGACTCACACCGAACCTAGCCTTAGAGCGTCGTCGCGTCGCCCTGCTCGTAGCCCTCCTCGACCTCCGGGAGCACGTCGAAGACCCAGTGCTGGCGCGAGTTGCGCTTGCCGATGCGGACGTCGCTCTCCGTCTGCTCGTTGCAGGGGACCTGGACGCCGTCGTCGTCCCCGCAGCAGTTGGCCTGGCGCCACCACTGCGCGACGTTCGCGCACTGCTCCGTCTGCTCGACGCACTCCGACGACCGCGCGCAGCTCACGCAGACGCGGTCCGCGCCGGCCTCGCAGGGGCTCGACTCGTACTCCATGGCCGTGCACTCCGTGCAGGGCGAGCAGACGCGGTCGCTGGACCCGGAGCAGCCGCCCGCGTCGTAGTAGGGATACCCGCAGCTGACGCAGGGCTCGCAGCCGACGTCC